GAAGCCCTCTGTCCACAGTAAAGGCCCAGGCCAGCTCTCTTCTATTAGCCAAGCCAAGACATGGCAGAGGAGGAGGCCAGCAGAGTCGGGCCTGGCAAGGGGGCGAGCAGCCGGTCTGCTTTTTGGGACCCAGGACCAGGGAGGGTGTCTGCCTCCCAGTCCCAGGCCCGAGCCCCAGGACTGGGGTGGGGTGTGGCTGGGGAGAAGGAGTTATGTCCGGTCCAGGAGGGAAGACACTGCTCTCCCACTGCCCTCTGCTCTCTCCTCTCTCCCCAGTCACATGAGCTGCTTCCTGCATCCAGGGGTGGCCAGGCCAGTCAGGCCGGGACATTCCCCACATAGCAGTCCCAGGAGAGAGGCTGGGCTGAGCAGGGTCACCAGCCCCCACCCTTCCCCACTGCCTCTGACTCCAGCAGAGCTTTGGCCAGCGGTCCCAAGAACAGACAAAAACAGACCCTAGAAAAGTAGAGACAGACGTGACTGCTTCCCTTGAGGGCCCTGTCTCCCCCATCAGGCTGGGGCTTCCCAGCTAGGCCTCTCCCCTCAGACTGGTGGCCTCAGCAGCAAACACCCCACAGACGAGAGGTTCCTTGACAGAATTCCGTAGTCTCTCCTTTCAGAATGGTCATCCCGAGCAGACAGAGACTGAAATGGGCACCACATATGGCCAGGGCCCTGGGGACAGGAGAAGACAGAGGAGCCCATCCTCCTGGATGCTTCCAGAGGAAAACCCTCACTTCCGGTCTGGAGGACAGCCCAAGCTGCGGCCCAGGACTGGCTGGGGGTGGGGGAGGCTCAGATCAGGCCATCCCAGCTGCTGTTTGTTTTCTTCCTTCTGGGCTCCTTCCCAAAGCAAACAAACCAGGGTGGGAAAATGAAGGGGACTTGGAGGAGAGGGAAATGCAGGGCCAGGTGGCTCGACCCTGAGGACCTCCCGGCTCCCCTGCGGAGGACTCCAGCTGGAGCTCCCGTCTCTGCTGGTGACCCTCTGTGGGCAAAAACCCAAACTGGCGGATCACCCCACACCAGGGCTCCTGAGAGTGGAAACACACCGCACCCAGCCTCAAGAAACAGCAAAGGGTGACTTGAGCAAGTGGGGCCTCACATACCAGGGCCTCTGGGGGGCTGGGCAGCCCTGACCCCAGCTGGCATCCTCTCCTTAGGGGGTGATCCCCCAGGGTTTCATTCTGCAGGGATCTGCCTGACCTTCTCCGGGAAGTACAGGGAAGAACCAACCCTGAGTTCCCTGTTCTGCATTTGCTGGAGAAAACTAGGATTTGGATAAAGGTTTGGTTAAAATTTGTTATTGTCTACAGAGCGTGAGATCATCAAGATAGAGGCTAAGAAACAAGAAAAGAGGGGCGCCTGGGTGGCTCAGTCGTTAAGCGTCTGCCTTCGGCTCAGGCCCTGATCCCAGGGTTCTGGGATCGAGCCCCGCATCGGGCTCCCCGCTCAGCGGGAAGCCTGCTTCTCCCTCTCCCACTCCCCCTGCTTGTGTTCCCTCTCTCGCTGTGTCTCTGTCAAATAAATAAAATCTTTAAAAAAAAAAAGAAAAAGAAAGAAAGAAAGAAACAAGAAAAGAGAGGGAAAGAAACGTTAGTGTTGGGATCATGGATGATTTTTTTTTTTCTTCTCTTGTAAACTTTTCTAAACTTTCCAGTTATTTTTTTACAATGATCAGATGTTACTTTTTCAATCAAGAGGGAGGAGGTGTCACAGAGTCCAGCCTCCTCAGCATCCCCCAAATAAGCATACTGATTGCCCAGCCCCATCCCAACTCTGCCTGTCCCAGACACTCAGCCCAGTGTCCCTACAGTGGAGAAGGAAAGCAGACCTGTGAACCCACACTCTGCAGGTCACAGAGAGCTGAGCTTCTTGTCCTGAGGCCCCCAAAGGCTGAGGTGCCAGGAGGCTGAGCAAAGAGCTTTTTCTTCAGGCCTGGCCAGGAAGTTGCTAGAAATTGGGGCAGTCCATGCCCCCAGACCGCCATCAGATTCAACCATGTCCCAGGAGAGAGGCCTCAAAATGTCACTTACAGGGACACAAAGCTGGATGGCCTGCTCCAGCCACACCTCTCTTTCTCTTCACAAGGGTCACTGGGCCAGCCGGCTCACAGATACCTGTCCCTCTTACCGCCAGGACTCTCTTCTCCCAGAAGACACCACCCTGCGTGTTTCCCCAGGGACCCCAACAAACCTCAGACTGGCACCAAAGGTACTGATTCCTGCCTGCCCTCTCTCTCGGGCACGATGGCCCTCCTCCAACTCCCTCAGACAGAACCCTGCTTCCTCCTTTTTAGAGAAGAGTCACCTCTGACCTTCCATCTCTCCCTCTTACTCAGCAATGCAAGAGCTCATCTCTAACAGACAGGAAGTCCTTCCTCCTGTCTAGCCTCCATTCCTTCCCTAAGAGCATCAGTCTCCATGGCCCTTGTATCCCCAAGGGTGATGGAAAACCACAAGCCCAACACCCTCTTTATAGCATCAGTCAGGACTGACATCATTCTCTTTCCTTCTCTGTCACATCAAGTCCCCTCAGCCTTCTCTTCTCCAGGATCAATAATCCCCATGCCCAGGGGCCCCTCTTGACCTCAAGGGATCCAAAAGCCCAGTGCAGACAGGCTCAGTGCCCAGGCTGCACCCAGAGAGAAGCCCCATTTTCCAGGCCCATCTGGTGTCAGGTGCCCGGTTGGCAGAGGTGACAGGTCTCAGAAGGCAGTGACACCAGCCCCTCCCTCAGGGACCAAGGCTCTGGATGACCCCACCCCATCACCAGAAAGGCCCTCCCAGGCTCCCGGGTTCCCAGTCTCCCAGGCTCCCAGGTTCCCAGGCTCCCAGGCTCCCGGGCTCCCAGTCTCCTAGTCTCCCAGGCTTGCAGGCTCCCAGGCTCCAGGGCTCCCAGGCTCCCAAGCAGAGGACAGCCAGCTCTCGGCCCCAGAGCAGCCAAGCAGTACTGACTGGCACAATCCTATAGCCCAGTGGCCCAGTCCTAAATCTGACTCTCATTTCTCTCTCCTCCCCAGGGACCAGGCTCCCCTTTATGTTGGCACAGCCCCAGCCCCAGGCAAAGCAGGAAGCCCCACTCCCTATACAGGGACAAGCCCAGAACAGCCCAGGATCTGGCCCGGCGCAAGCCAGGAGGCAGCAGCAGCTTTGACTCCTGCCCTCCTCTGCCCCACCAGCCTCCTCCACACATGGCCACAGCCCCTGGCCCTGGGGAGATGGCCCCCTCCCCCAGGAACTAAAAACCAAGCCATGGAAGTTTCAGAGGGCTGGAGGCTAGGACATGAGTCACCCCCTCCTGACCAACCTGCCCCCACCTTCACCACCCACACAAACCTGGCTGGGTCATTTAGAATTCTCTTCTCCCCAAACTCCCAGGCAGAGGCTCTCAAAGAGCAGGAGCAGGTTCTTCCCAGAGCTGCAGTTGGGTCATACATGATACAGCAGGATGGGCTCTGAGCTTGGAACCAGAGGACCCAAAGGCTAGTCTTGACCCTGCTTGGGTCTCGATGTGCAACTTTGGGCAAGTTACTTAACTCCCCTGAGTTTCAGTTTCCTCATCTGCCAAATGGGGTAATGATACCTGCCTCTAGGGATTGTCGTCAGGAATAAGTGAAAACACTCAAAGGAAAGTGCTGGTATCTGTAAAGTCCTCCCGTACATTTTTAGTTACCATTTGTCAAGTACTTATTGGGTCGTGGGTATTACTCCCATTTTGCAGAGGTCACTGAGGCTCAGAGAGATGAAGGGACCTGACCAAGGCCACACAGGTAATGAGTGGCAGAGCTGAGATTCAAACCCAGCTCAGTCCACGCCCATTTCACTGTGCTCAGAATTGGCCCACGGCCCTTCCACTGACAGTCAATCACCCCATCTCATTCTCAGGTGGCTCTTCTCCCCAGCCCCTCATCAGGACCTGCCCCTTGAGCCTCCAGCGGGGAGCCTCAGCGGGGAGCCTCAGCGCTGGCAGCCAGAACAGAGGTTCCAGAGGGAATGGGGGTGGGGCAGGGTGGAGAGGGCTCCTGTCACCCAAGCCGGTGCTTGATCTAGCAAGAAATGACTCATTGGATCCTACCTTTTCCCCCTTCTACCTCCCGACCGAGAACCACCAGTTGCCACCAGGCACCTCCTAGCAATACTTCCTCAGTATTATCTTTTGATCACAGTCACAGACCAGATTAGCTAAACTAATCATTTTACCAATGTAATTACAATGCCTTCCCCTCCTCCACTTTGGCACACAGCAGAGGGAAAACAGGTTATTTTTGCCCAAATTCCATGACCTTTTGGCTCCCCAGAGGTACACTACCCATTAGAGAAGAAGGATGGGGTTTCCTCCTCAGCCTCCCCCTAACTCAGGGCACTCCACGGGGACGGGTCTGACCCCTGCCCACTCCCCCAACTACAACCAGGAAAGAGGTGGTAGGGTCTTCCCAACTGAGTCAGGCCAAGCAACCCTGATTCCCTCCATACTCCCTTCACCCCCGAACTAAGGGAGAGCCTGGCTCTTATATTTCCCCTCTGGTCCCCAAGGAGGCTGGCGTCCAAATCCCTGCAGAAAGACCACACTTCAGATTTTTAAAAACCAGTGCTGAAAGCCTGGTGATCTCCAACTCTGCCCAGGGAAGGGGCTCTCAGGAAATTGGGGTGAAGGGAGCCCTCATGCAGCTCTCCCGAAACCTTGTGCCGCATAGCCTGTCCCACTCACCCCACCCAGCTCTCTCAGAAAGAGGTGGCTGGGAGACTGACTGCAAAAGCCTCCCGAAGGAATGCACCTTCAAAACCCAGAAATCAAATGGAAACCAAACCCCAAGCTCCACACTCTCCGGCCTCAAAGACTAGCCAGCTATATAAGGTGGGGGATGGGGTAGAGGGGGGAAAAAGGCCAGAACAATCGCTCCCCCCACCCTCTTCAGTTTGGCCGCCCCACCCCCATTCCTGGGGAGGGGGCAAAGCTTGGGAGAAAGCCACTGGCCTCAAGCGAGGGGGTGTGGTGGTCCCCGGAGGCAGGAAGAGAAGGAAGAAGCTGCTTCCCCTTTGGCCCACCCCCCAACCCCTGCCCCCACCTCGGGCCCCAGGGGCCCAGCAAACAGGATGGAGGTGGGGGCAGGGAGGATAGGGTCAGAGCGCAGGCACTGGCCCGGGCTCAGCCGGGCCAACTGGGGGAGGGGGCTTTGTCCCAAGACGGACCCCCCTAAGCCTGGGGGGGAAAGCCCTTGGGCAAGGAGGCAGTTAAACCCGCAGAGAAAGCTGCCGTGAATACTTCCTCCTAGAAAGTTTGTTTGGGGTGATTTTTTCGACAATAAGAGGTTAGAGAAGAAGAGTAGTCCTGTTCCCCTGTCGACGTTCTGGAAGCAGCAGCTACTGGAAACTGGGCCAGGGAATTCTCCAACCAGGCACGACCCCTCCGCTCAGACCCCAGTCCGAGCCACGGGTGCCAGACACCAGCTGGGCGCGCAGCCGGGCCCTGCGCCAGTCCCGCTGTCATCCCATCCCACCTCCGATGGCGGAGCCCTAGCCCGGCACCCACCGGGGCGGAGGGAGGCGCCGCAGGTACAGTACCGACGAGGGCGCTGGAGGGCTGGGCCTCTGCACTGAGTGCTCACCTGCTCCGCAGGTGGGGCCCGCGACGCTGGGAAAATGTGCGCTCGGCCCCCACGGTCGGGCAAGCTGGGCGCAGACAATAGGGCCCCACCCAAGCCTGGGGGAGTAGAGAGGGAGGGAAAGCGAAGATGACGCGTGAGGTGGGGTGAGGGTGGCCCCAAAGACACCAGCGGCAGCAAGTTTCCCGAACTGTACATTCCTGACTACAGAGTGAGCCCTGGGACGCAGAGGAGCAGGGCAAAGTCTCCCTCACAAGAGTCACGGCGAAGAGTCGGGGATGCGGCGTCGGGCGAGCTCCACCGGCCGCAGGTCAGGCGCGACCCCAGAGGCACCTGCCCTCATCCCTCCCCGCCCTTCTCTGATCTCCAGCTCACGCAGCCCCCGGCACACAAGGCCACCACCTCGCGCCCCCGGAGTCGCCGCGCCCAAGGACCCCAGCGCGCCCCCTGCCGCCGGTGCAGGGTGGCGCTCCCTGGCTCGCTCCCTCACCTGCCCGGAGACGGCGGGGATCGGCCTCTCGGCCGCTCGCCGCCCTTCCCTCGCCCCAGCGATCCCCGCCCCGATCGTCCGCACCTGCTTGTGGAGCCTGGCCGGGCTGGGTGTAGGGGTCGGGCCAGCGCGGGCAGCGAACTGAGCTCGGCGCGCTCGGGCGGCGGCTGCTCCGAACTCTGGCCAAGGCAGCAACTCAGTAACCGAACAAAAGGCGAAAGGACCTGACAGCCAAGCCACGCCTCTCGCCCCCTCGAAGCTCCGCCCCCGAGGGAAACGCCCACCCGCCGATGAGGGTTCACTGGCTGCCTCTCCTGACTGTCCCATCGAGGGGCGGAGCCTCGCGCTCAGTCCTCTTCCACCGCCGCCTCTGTTTATCCGCTGGCCATTGGCCCCAGGGACTGCTAGTCGGCTCTGGGGACGGCCTCCAACTTGAGGTTCCATCCTCACTCCGCACCTATTGGCAGATAGAAGGTTACTTCCTCCTGATTGGGCAAGGGATTGTCAGTAAGACTAAGGAAAGAACCAATGGGAAGGATGGGGTGTGTCTTGCCCCACCCTAGCTCTGAGCAGGTGAGACTCATTACTCTCCCCTTCCCCCTACCTGTCCAACAGGTGAGTCAGGAGGCGCCATGGGAAAGGACAGACGCCTTTACAGGCCAGCCAACTCAGCGTCAGGCATGATGCTTCTTTGCGCTTATTCACCCTTGCCACAGAGGGATAACAACATATTTGTATATCATTTCATAGGCTTTTTTTTCTAGGTTGGGATTTTTTTCCCCAAAGACAAGAGTGCTCATGAGATTTCGAATTAGAAGGCCTGGGTTTGGGTTCTGCCACTTAGTAGCTGTATGATCTCAGCCAGTTACTTCATCTTTCATCCTGTTTTTCTTCATCTGTAAAATGGGTACATTAGCTGTATGTCTCATGGGGGGTGCGGGAATAAAATTAAGGTTTGTGAAATCATTTGGACAACCGCTAAATGTTAGAATTTAAAGATATGGAGGGGTTTTGGTTTTTTTTTTAATTCTCATGACAATTCTGAAAAAAAATTTAGGACAACAAAACGAGCCTCATTTCAACGATGGGGAAGCTGAAATTCAGAGAAGTCACAAACCTACAAAGTGGCATATCCTCCACTAGCACCCCTTTCTTCTAATTTCAAGGCCCACCAAACGCATGCGCCCCTGGTGGAATAATAGCTTAGACATAAAATGTCAAAAGCAGCGGGGAGGGGTGGGGGGAAAGGCAAAAGCAAATATTCTGGGCAGAGACAGAAGAACAAAGATTTGGGACAAAGAGAAAGTAGTGGTGGGTTTGGGAAAAAAACAGGCATCAGATCTAAAGGAAATCAACACTAGCATAAAGAAATGGGGCAGCAGCCCCCTCAGTGGTGGAAGATTGTGGGTTAGTAATCAAAAAGAACTTCCCAATAGGCAAGCAAGTTAAGAAGACAAGGGTCTTTCCGTCCTGTGGTTAATGAAATGGGTGCCCGCTCTCGTGGTTGTACAGTCTACTGAGCTTACTACAGACATTCATTCAAGGCACCAGATTGGACTCTGGTAACACAGAAAACCACAAGGATCCCAACCCTCAAAGGGTTCCCGGAGAGCTAAGTGTAAACAGGTCATCTTAGCCACTCTGAGTGTGTGGTAATTGGGGGAGTGGTTGTCATGAAAAGGTCCTCCCTCAAACAAGATCTATAGTCCCAAAGCTAGCACCCCAGCAGTATACTTGACCACTTTCCCACCAGAGAAAGGAATGATGGCCAAAACAGTCTCACTTCTGAGGCTTGTGCCATCCAGGAAGCTTTCCTGGAGGGGGCCAGGGAGACATCAACATCCTTAACCAGGTACCATCCCACATGCCAGGGCCACTGCCCTTCACTTAGTTTCCTTGACTCCCCCTCCTCTTGCTTTTCTGAGTATCTTCCTCCCTACCTTATCCTTGCCCACCCCTCCACCTGCTCCCCCCAACCCCCAGCCAGGCTGTACAGTGGCCAGCCCTCAGCTTAGGAGGAATAGAGCTCCCAGCCCTAGGGTTTCACTTCCTCCCTCTCCCTACTCTCCCCATCCCCTGCCCATTTCCCCACCCCCAGCCCTGCCCATAGACACACATACTTCCCAGACTGGAGCCTGACTTCACTCTTTCCTTCCTGTCTTCCTCTCTCTGCATACAGGCTGGTTGATGACAGAGAGGTGGAAGAACCTGGTGGAGAAGGGGGGCACAAATAGGGCTTCAGAATAAAGCCTCTGTGTCTGTGTGTGTGTATCTTCCCAGAATATTCCCTGCATGTCAGCCTGGAACAAGCTGCAACATGCTGGCCCCACAGCTAAGCATCAGGCTGGGACTGGGTGGAGGTACCACCCACAGCAGCAGGAAAGACTGGAATAAGAGCTGTGACTCCTCCCAGATCAAGGGATTTTTGGCACATTTATTAAGCACCTACTGTGTGCCTGCCAGGCACTGAGGATTCATCTGTAGGATACAGAAAAGAATCAGAAAATGATGTTTACTACAATGAGCTGCCTGTGTAGAGGATTTGGTCTCAAGGGGCGAGGAGGTGCCTAGGGACAGGGATGAGAGTCTCTGTGGCCACAGACTCCCCGGTAGCTTGAACTTGAAGGACAGGCCACAGGAACATCTTACCCAGTCCCCTTCCTCCAAGCCTTTCAAGGCAGGGGTTTCTCTGTTTGACAAATCTCCAGGAAAGGAGAGTCTCCAGATATTATATGAATACCCTTGTCTCCTTTTATTGTAAGTTCCTTATGTCTAGCTTCACTTCGTATTCCTGAATTTTAAGCTCATTTCTCTTGCCCAGAGCTCAATGGAAGCAGAGTCCTTGGGCCATGAAGAACACAAATGGTTAATGCAACCTTGCAGCTGTCTGGGTTCTCAGAGCAAAGAAGGAAAGGGCATCAAGGGGCTCATCCCAAACTTCCCCAGAGGTGGAAGTTACCAGCAAAGAGGGGTATGATGAGGGTCCAATGTTGGGGTGGGGGAGTTGGGAGGGTGGGGGCCAGGGAGGTGCTTCCCTGGAGGAAGGTGAACAACAGCCAGGCTGCTCTCCTCAGCTCATCCTCCGCAGGCCTCTGGGCCATATAAGGAGCTGGGACAGATGCTGTTGTCTTCCATCTCGGCCCCCTCTCTGTCAGGGATTTAGATGTGCAAAAGCCACACACACAACCATCTGCACTCATACCTCCGGGATATACACTGACGGGCCTAGATTCACACATACAAACACTGGGCACGTCAGCACTCTCCCCCAGCACACACACACACACACACACACACACACACACACACACACACCCTTCTTCCCTCCTCTGACCCAAGGTGGCCGCAGGGATGGCCACCTCTACAAAAGAAGATGGGGGGCACCTGGGTGGCTCAGTCGGTTAAGCAGCTGACTTCAGCAGGTCATGAACTCGGGGTCCTGGGATCGAGCCCCACAGCAGGCTCCCTGAATTTTTTTTAAAAATCTTATAGAAGAAGATGGGGTGAACAGATGGGTGGCTAAACTTCAGGCTGATGACGCTGCCTTTCCACAGCAGGAAAAACACAGACAATTGCAAGTTACTCCTGGAGGAGCAGACTGGAATCAGAGGCAATGCACAGAGCGAAGGGCATCTTGAGCGCCGGCCTTCTCTCAGCCCTGGGGCAGAGCCATCCACAGGCGTGGGGAAGGGGCCTCAGCCCTGGTCCTCCCATGGAGGGGGCGAGGGACAGCACCCCTCCACACAGGAACAAGGGGAGGAGCCTACACAGTGTTCATCCCTCTCCCCTTTGAGACCACACTCTGGACGGACGAGAAACCGGAATTCCCTGCCCAGAGCTGACCCTGCTTGGGTGGCCTGTAGTTCTCTTGTTCTGGCTCTTTCTCCTGAGAATGGACAGAAGCAGCATGCGTGTTACGTGCACACTTGGTCCAAGGGGTGACAGGGGCAGGGATGGGGGAGGGATGGACACAGAGGACATGCTGCTGGGGTATCCACACACACATGCTGGAAGCCCTTGGTCATGTGCTAGTGAGTGGGGAGCCAGGGGTGCAAAGGGAAGGGGAGATGGCCCAGGCACTGGGGGTCAGGGAACAGTTACCCCAGGCTGCTGGGCTCTGAGAAGGAATCAGACCTCTCAGTTCCATCCTGGCCCTTCAGGTCGCTGTAGGGGTATACTTGTCAAGGTACACCTTACTTAACAGTTTGTTGGCTTGATTTGTGCCCAACTTAGATCTCTGTATGCGGGCCTCCATTTGCACTCTGGCCCCTGCCTGCGGGTGTCGGGGTGGGGGGATTGCTCAGTGGGATCCCTTCGGGGCTGGGGAGTTGGCTGCAGAAGGGCCTCTGGCTCCCAAGCTCTCCTGGCGGGAGCGGGGCCAGGCCTTGCTGGGAGCAGGAGCATACAGGATGGTGCAAGGGCCCTGTGTGTGTGTGGGGGGGGGGGTGCTCCTGCTTTTTGTGCTGCCCTCTGTCAGGGGGGAGGAGCCTGGAGGCCAGAGACAGATGGCCACAGCCTGGTCCTGAGGGTGCGTGCCCAGCCGGCCAGGGGAGGGCTCTTAATTATAGAGGTAGCTCCCAAGACACTTCACTGCAAGGCGTGTGGGCGGGGATGGAATGTCAAAAAGAAAACAGGGAGACAAGAAAACAGAGATAGGACAGCCAGAAATAGCACAGGCCAGGGGGAGATACCAGGGGCTGGAGGTGGTGGTGGATAGGGAGAGGCTGGAAGAGGGTCAGGACCTCTCCAGAGCATGACGATCCCCCAGTAGGTACCCCCTTACCTACCCCAACCCCCCAAGAAGGTGCGATTCCAGAATTTCAGGAACTCAACAGGACGGGCTCCAAGCATTGGGACTGTATTCTTGAGCTCTGTCCCCCTGGTTTTCTGAGCAATCCCCTCCCCCTGCTGAGAGTTTGGGTGGGGGGAAGCAGCAGGGGGAACCCTGCCACCTGAGTCACCCCTCTTGCTGCTCCTGGCCTGGAACAGGCTGACGCAGCTGAGGCCCCACCCACCTGCCAGCCCGCCTGCCCCTCCTGCTCCCAACAATCCTGGAGAGATGCCTACCCTGACAGGTGCCCTTCCCACGGAGAGGCTGCCCCTCCCCTGGCACACGCGTGTGCAAGCGTGAGAATGCTTGCACGCGTGTGCACACACGCACAACCCGATGACAGGATTTCTCCCGCACCTGTGGAGAGTCCTTGGGAAAAGGAAGAAGAAACATCAGAGTCCTTCCTTGTATATATGGGGAAACTGAGGCTAGAACCAGGAAAGGAACGTCCCCAAGGTCACACAAGCAAATTCCTGGCAGGCCTGAGACTTGAACCTTGTCTCCTGCCTTCCCCGCCCCCCCCCCCCCAGCCCACCGGTCTCACCAATCTAGGTCTTTTCTATCTCAGCAAAGGTGGGGTGCGGTGTATGTGTTAGGGGGAGAGGAGAACCAATTTGTGGGAAGTCACCTCGTGTTGGGACTTCGGGAGGAAAACTTCGGGATTTGAGAGCCAGGGCTGGGGGGCCACTGGGGCCTTGCTGGGCTGGCCGGCCCTCCCCAGGGGTGGAAATCGGTCACCTCTGCTCACTGCCGCGCAAGCCTCCGCACCAAGAGGGCACCACCCAGAGCCACAGTCCTGGATGTCATAGGGACCTTTCCCCCACCTCCGGGGCCTGGAGCCCCCCTCCTCCGCCCCCCGCCCTGCTACGTGAATCCCTTGTTCCCCAGTCCCATCCTGCGGCCACCAGGGAATTTGAGAGTTGAGATCCCTGAATATTTCATCGTCACCTCAGCCCTGAGTTGAAAGCAACAGCCAACTTCGAGCTCATGGATAATTTATGGCCCTGGCAGAGCACCCGGAAGTGGTGAGGGGAGGAGCAGGGGGCGTGGGGCCGGGTGAAGCCTGGCCAGGGCCACGCGGAGGGTGCTGGAGAGAGGCCAGGTCCATCCGAAATGTGTGTGTGCTTATGGGGGG